ATTTAAATTGTTTCCTGAACTATAATATAATATATATTTTATTACTTATTAGTTATTAGTAAGTAGGTAGGTATATATTCGTTTTATGTGGACATTATTTTAAATCATACATAAACATTATAATGGATAATAATTTTCCATATCTTAACAATAATATACATTTTAAAAGTAACATTTTATAGAAATCTGAACGGAAATTAATATAATTTTTAATATTATAATGCGTATACCTACTCTCTATGGTCTGTGCTTCATAAGTAGATATTATTATAGTATACTATTTAAATGAACACTGTGTAATTGTATAATATATTATGCTTTAAAATAATCAAGGAAATTTATTTGAAATGTCACGTTTCAAATAATACAAATTTTCGGTAACTATATAGTTCGATGATTAAAATAAGACCCCAAACCTAACCATGGTTTTGTAATCAGCTTATTTCACTAAAAAAAATACAGTAATCCCTTTTGGGAGAGTAAAGGACTTTTTTCCTGAAATCATAAGCAAGAATATACTGCATGTTCACTGCAGGATTATTATAAACATCATTTGTCTACTCCTTAAAATTGGTAAATCTTCGTAGGACGTCCGGTATTATAAAATGCCAATTTTTTTTGGTTCGTTATCTTACCTAAAGTTAGTGATTCCTGTATAGCGTTACCTTTATACGTGTTTAGAATTACTAATTATACCTATTATAATGCGTTTCCTAAACGAACAGCCGAGGAACCAAATAATTGTTAAAGGAAATTGTGATGATTTGAAATTAATTTATAACATAAAAGGTATTTCCTTTAAGCTGGCATTAAAGTAAAATAACAAAATTATTTTTCGTCGTCAATTTTGCACGTTTTATTGTGTTATCAACATAGTCATTATCACCCGCTATTATGTGTTTGTGTTTTGTAAACAATATATAACAGAAGAGCTTCATTGTTTTTAAGAAAATGAAAACAAGAGAAAAAAAAATCTTAATTAAACATAACGATGCTGGAATACTTTGACGGGTCCATTTATTATGAATATTATATTATACTCATTCAAGTATAAAATAGAGTACAATTGAGTAGAAAAAAAACAGTTAAGCAAGAAAAAACACTTTTGCTCAGACGTTGTGTTTTAATATAATTGATTAAAAATATATATCTAAAGATATTGGATATAACTATAATTGAACTATAGAAGGTATATTGATTCTTATAATGCATAGTCATTTAACTTACAAGCTTTGAAAAAATTACGTTTACTATGATATTTGTATAGGTACATATCAACAATTGATTCAATGGAATGTCTGAACTAACTAATATACACGATGTATCTACCGTAAGACCTATATGGCTATATTGTATCTCAAAATTTGAACAAATAATAATACATTAACTAGAACACGAGAATTAAACAGTATTGAACCATTTAAATTAAATATCAAAAGTTTTTATATCAAACAAGTAGGTAAGTAATAAGTTACTTATAGGTTGTAACCTATTATAAATAAAGTTATAAATTATCGAAATGCTGGTGTTGCATCAAAAAAATGTATTTAAAAATTATTTAAAAATCTACCAAATTACTAGTTTTAAAAATATACCTTTTAACGGTACTTTAAATACCTACTTTCAAGTAATGTTATGTAATTAGTTTTTCAAGCCATCAATAACATGATTCACAAGGATCGTGAAAATTGATGGTTAATATTAGCCTGTACGGAGAAATTTACTAATTTTAAATTATTGTCATTTGGTTTTGGCGATGATTTTTCCATCGATTGTCAATTTAATATAAAAAGTGGTATTGTAAAAGATAACAAAGAAAAAAATAAAAAATATTTTAATCATTATGGACTATGGTGTTTAATATAATAGGTACCTAACACTTATTATTTAATAACTACCAGAAAATTATATTTAAAAAACTTCATTGTGAATATTTCAATACGACTACCTACCTTATTTAAAAAACATTCGATTCCATGAAAAGTGTTTAACAATACACAACAAAAAATTCTTTACAACACTGTTAAGAGTTACACACAGTATTATGAGTTTATGACTGTCGAGAATATTCTTAAAAAAAAATCTTGGCGACAGACTTTTTTAATGAAATTCCTGATAATACAACGTATAATAACGTATATACAACAGCGTATTTCGATATAAAACTGAAATTATGAAAATCAAATTAGTTTTATTTAGAGATTTGTCTTATAGTGACTTATAATATTATAATATTAAAGTTATACATACATTTTAGCTTTATAGTTCATATTGTGAATTAGCAAAATTCGAGAATTTTAGGCGCTCCGTATTTCAACAATAATCATTTTCACAGAATTCGTGAGGCATATGGTAATGTTCCATTGACCGTTTTTCTTATCTAGCCTCTAGCAAATACTTATATTATCTATCTAACGTTTATATCAATATGTACTGTCATTGTCAAGTGCTACTAATCAACTGTTTTCCGTGTGACACAGACATTCGTTGTTTGTAATAAATAATTACTAATATATAAAATATAATACTCGTTTATCCAGCGGTGGCGACGATATCGCTGACCTTCTCGCCCCGATGTGACGGAAGTACGACTGCGTGTCCGCTGCCACAGAGGCCCTGGACGAGAAGTTCACGTACTGGATATATGGCGCAATCAAACGTCCGCGGTTCGAGCTCAGTGGTGATTCAGACTGATCGTATATCATATTGTGGACAGAATGAAGTATATAGGTACCAGCCATATGATTGAGAAGGTAAGTCGTGTGTTATAGCATTGTTCGTTTTATCAGAGGTATTTTATCGTCAACTCAACGGCCGTCGTCCTGGAACGAATCGGCGTGAAATACCAAATAAAATAACACGTCCTGCAGCGCCGTTGACGATGTCCGTCATCGATAAATTGGCTACTGTACTATGATAGTACCTATACATTATAATATCGCCTGATCTCAGATTATTGTTACTAATAAGCGTGCGACCATATTATATTATTACTATATAATTGTATACATAATATTATAAATATTATTATGATGAATGTATCTGTAAGCTTTCACGGTAATTGATGAGAAAAAAAATGTATGTTTTAAAAAAATTAAAAAAATTAACATTTTTTTCTCATCAAATACCTTGAAATCATACAAATACATTCATCATAATAATATTTATAATATTATGTATACAATTATATAGTAATAATATAATATGGTCGCACGCTTATTAGTAACAATAATCTGAGATCAGGCGATATTATAATGTATAGGTACTATCATAGTACAGTAGCCAATTTATCGATGACGGACATCGTCAACGGCGCTGCAGGACGTGTTATTTTATTTGGTATTTCACGCCGATACGGAACAGCTGCATAGTCGTTCCAGGACGACGGCTGTTGTGTTGATGATGTTCCTATGATAAAACAAACGATGCTATAATACACGACTCAACTTCTCAATCATATTCCTCCTGAAATAATGTATGTTTGTTATAAAAAAAATGTGTTAAAATAAATGTTTAATTCAATATGAAGTGTACACGAATTCAGTGTCATTGAGTGTAGTTTTTCAATATTATATAGGTACTGCTAATACCCTGTACAACCCTGTTTAAAATTAATCCATCTGTTATCGATTTCCGTTTTTTCGTTATAATTATATTTGAAAATCAGTCAAAACAGGATCATCCGTTCAGAAGCCTTTTGCGGACAAACGGGAAAAACAGCCAAATGTTATATCCATGTATCCATGTTTCATGTCGCATATTGCATTTAATCGTGAATTTGGGGCTTACACGACTTGTATACTTTGCATTTGCGAGTGTGATACGCAAGATAAAAATAAAAAAAAACATTATAATATATAGATAGGTATGTATAATGATATTGCAAATGAGTAAATTTTCCAAAATTGTGAGTTAGACGTTGTTTTTTTGTCATGTAAGTAGAATTTAAGCTACGCCTACCCAAGAACAGGCAACATATTATAGTTATTGACCGTGAGAAAAGCGATGTTTTCCCTATCAATTTTAATATTAAAAACATTCACCACAATATACTACTAGTATAGAGTCTTGATGGAAAATGAGTTGAAAAATTTGTTATTCATACCTATTATAAACACCATCGTATACATAAGCACCTTAATTTGAATTAAGTACTGTTTATAAAGAATCGGTTTACTTCAGTGTTGGGTAAGTTACTTTACCCGTTACTTAGAGATAAATGTAATTAAGTTACTTTACTCATTACTCAAATAAAATTGTAATGAAAATATTTTACTTTTCAAATATAAAAGTAACTCATTACTTTCTCGGTACAAAAATAAAAATAAATTTTAAATTTCTTGGAAATTATCTTCTGCAGGCAAATTGAACAAGGAAATTCTTTATAAAACCTGTATCTATAGTTAATAGAATCATATAAAATTTAGTCTTCCACACAATCTATATTCATAGGAAACCTATTTAAAGGAATCAAATTAAATAATAAATTTAACTAATTGTTCTCGTGACTTACGGTGCAATTAGACATTTCAAATGTCAAAACCATTGAAAACTGAATTGTGACGAGTTAAAATTAAATATATATACATATTAGATTGGTAGACATAATAATACCCGCATTATACATATATTTTTTTTCAATTCGCAATAGGTAAGTATAGGTACTTAATAATTCGAAACTGTAACGCGTTATTCTATAGAAATTACTTTTTAAAAGTAATTTCCAGTACATTTTCATTACTTGGAAATAATTCTAATGAAATTACGTAACGCGTTACAAGCAAAGTAATTCCTTTACAGCAACGCGTTACTTTCGTGAAGTAGGTACTTGGAATACAACAATTATTTATGCAGCAATTTCCTATATAATACGAGTACATATCAACATATTATTATATAAAGGTACAATTTATTTTTATTGTGTTATTAAAATATAATAATATTATATTATGTGGAGGTACATGGTTTTATAAAACAATTTAATATAAATTAAAAATGTATTATATTCTGGCTTCCCTATTTACTTTGTCGTAGACTTCTGGAAAGTTAGATTTACAACTTAGATTCTGTCTTATTTGGTCATACAATCGATGATCAAACATTGTCCTGAACTCATCTATATTTAAATATGTACCGGCGTACATCATCTTAAATCTAGATGTAAAAGAAAAAAAATATTTTTAAATAAAATTTTGTTTGTTTGTAAGTTGTAACAGCATAAAATACTTCTTAAAAAGACAAAAATTTAATCAAAAAAAGTATTTTGTTTCTTACCCTTTTAATTTAAGTACAAATATTTCTAGGTCCCTTAAAATTGTTGGATTATATTTGGAGACTTTAGGCTCACCATATAAACCAATATCGATGTACATATTGTTTACTGTTGCAGGTGAATGCATAAGACCTTTTCCCGGACGCAAAACGGTTGGGCATACCCAAATGGGATAAATCTAAAATCAATCAATTAGTCAAAATCCACATAGTTTATTGATAAATGATCATATTATATTGTTATAGTTACATTGAGAATCGCATGAAATTGTTGAACTGATTTTTTCAAACTGGAAATTGGTAGTATGAAGTCATCTATGAAATGATGTTTTGCGTACAACTGCTTGATCGTATCCGTTTGTGTCAATTTCAATAAAGCCACTTTTGCAGGCATCAGCCATCCTAGTAGATAACGGAAAACTGGGTGATTTCCGAAAGGTATTATATCCTAAACATATACAGTATATACTATATTATATCAATATTAATTAAAATGGAAATTAATGTTTTATGATTTTTTTAGGTACTTGAATTTCCCAAAATAATGGTTTATTGTGCCTAAAATAGTAATCTTTTAGTGGAATGTATTCCTCGCCAATTTTCCATGTCATTAGGAATGATTCAACGTGTTTAAAAAACCATGGTTTGTAAAATCGACCGATTCTGTTGACATATTTCTGAATAAAATACATTTTGTCAAATATTAAAAGGTAAAGGGCTACATTTATGATAATAATAATGATATTATATATAAAATAATAATTTGTTAAACAGTTACTATGTACAATGTCTCTATTGCCGTCTGTCATTTTTCCAGTCATCAAGACTCCCTCGTCTTTGTTGTATATTAATAGCTCGACAAAATCATTGTTCTCTAAATCATTAGTTTCCACTATCAGTCGAGACTCCATTTTTTCCAATGTACGAATTGGACGGTATTTGAGCTTTACGTATCTAAATAATATTTAAACACGGTTTTTCTGTTTAATAATAGCAAATCGATTAATTAGAAGGACTTACTTTTTCGCTGGTATCATTTGAATATCAACCGCTGTTAAAAATCCCAAAGTGCCATATGAATATGGTATGGATTCGAAAATATCTGCATTCTCCGACTGCGCATAATCATCAATTACATTAAATACATAATTAGGTATGTTTGTTTTTTTTTTTACAAAACAAATGAACATTTAATCAAATATGTATATAGTAACTGAACCTTTGAACATATGATCAAATCGCCGTTGGCCGTAATGAGTTCATAACGTGTACATGTTTCGTGAAATAATCCAAATTTGTGCGATGACGATTCCAATCCGGTTCCCATAACGAGACCACCTAAATATTTAAAAATATATGAATTATTATTTATAAGATACAACCAATTTTGAATTGCTACATCTTACCGATTGTTAGGTCTTCCATATCCAAAGCCACAGGCACCGTCCAACCGGATTCGATCAAAATGGGAATCAATCGGCCCATTGTAATACCCGGTTCCACTCTGACTGTCTAATGCGCAATTATTTAATAATAGTTGTTAAAAAAAAAGTCCATGATACTTAACGTCACATAAATGTATATAGTTATTTAAAAACCGTATTTGTAATTATTATAAATTATTGAACAATTATATCATTATCCAAGTTACGATAACTTACTCGAGTCTTAGCATTGATCGAAACGATTCCGTCTAGATGAACGTCTATGTTGAACATATATTTTTTGTAAGCCATGTCAGCTATTGTCATACTCCGCCAACTCGGTCTGGCCGTACACATAACTTGATCTGGTGCCAGTTTATTTCTATGACGGATCTGCAACATATAACGGTCGTTACGATTGCTTCAGATATCATAATAATATTATCTAGTATTTATAGGTATACACTACCAAATTATTTAATAACAATCGAATTGTCTCCCAAATTTAGGTAGGTGACCTTTTTTCACTCGAATTTCCTCCGAGTTTTTCAGAAGCAATTCGAGTATACCCAAACTGTCTACTTGAATTGACTCCCATATAGCATACATAGATTATTAATTAATACATCGATAGTTTTAAGTGTACTTACAATAGATTATTACATAGATTTCCGTAATGATCAAAAATACAATTTTTTTAAGACATACAGTATTTCCCAGACAGATCAATCACATTTATTATATTTTATAAAAAATAACGTTATTAGTGAAAAGTAAAAACAATTTTAATTTGGGTTTAATCTAAGAATTTAAGTTTGGATTTGATAAGCTTGAATTTTTATTGACTCAACCTCATATTTAAAAAAGGTGCTCCGCTGTATAGTACACTAGTGGGTCACTGTATAATGGATGGTATTAAATTTGAATTCAATGATATAATATCATTGTATAAGAAAAACGATTCTGAGCGAAAATGGTTAGTCAGCCTATGATATTACGAAGTATATTTGATGATACTAAGGTGAATAAAGTAATGTATATATAACCTATTTACGTGGAATCTTGTTTTAAATTTTCAATCCTTAGCTATAAAAGTTGAACATTTAATAAATTTTTAACTACAAAATTATTATTAAATTTTAAATGTGATACATTTTGTCAACATTTGAACTTTAAATACTTATAAAAATAATTGTGCTTATGTATTTTTAATATTTTTCAGCTGCTATTGTAAGAATATATCAGGAGCTTTGCATTAAATTTTCACGCTTATTGACCCAATTCGATTTTCTCGAAAACAGATTTTGCTTAAAAATTCCTGTTTTTCCTTAATTTTTCTTTTGTTTTTCACATCGCTCTTGAAAAATACTGAGAAATTTTTACTTTTGACCCCCCAAAGTACCAACTAGATTCACTTTCCTATCAGAAAAGATACTGTTAAAGAAAATCCAAGCACTTTTACTGACCTAAAAGGTGATGACAGACACAAAAAAAATAAAAAATAAAAAAACACACATCAATGTAAAATCAATACGTGTCATCGTTCCACTCAGAATCTAAATGTATGTATTAATGCAGTTTTATATAGTAATATTAATTAGATCTTCCAAAATGGAAACCAAAAAAATTTGGAAAACCACAAAAAATAAAATTAGCAAAAATAAATTTAAACCTCGGAAACGACGAAATTTTTATTTTTTTTCAATATTAGATAGGTATTGATTATTTATAAATTTTCATTCTTATTAACTATTACTGCAGGTTTTATTGATTTTTTTAAATTCCGATTATTCTTTCATTTTTAAAACAGTCTATTTATTTAAATATTTAGCAACCTTAATTCAAATTAAATCAATCGACATTGACTCAATTTATTTGATTTATTAATGTTTCCTATAATGTAACGTTATACACTTATACATATTTTAACTGTAGCTTTCCGAGGCGATTCCAGTATAAGAGGGTCACTGCCTTAGTGCCTTATTAGGAGGCAATTCAAGAGAACGATACTTTTGAAATCGAGAAGCAATTCGAGTAACCTTTTAAAAAAAATTCACGGGAGCAACTCGAGAGCGCCCAATTATTTTACATCAGGTGCTCACCTGGCGTTGAACATGGCTAAGGTTTTTCTCGTGTTCCAGTCCTGTATGACGTGACCATAAACTTTTTTCGAATACCGACCATATCTTTCCCAACACAGTACACGGTAAAAGAAAAAAAACTACAAACACCCATCGGAAGTTCACCAGTAAATATTCCAATAATGATTCAGAGCGCATGTTAAGAAGTGTATTATAACCGTAACCGTCAACGGACGGTCGTGCTTTGGTTTTTTTTTTTTTTGCTATCGCACGTTTATAAAAAATGTTTTCAATCAACTACTATTCAATTAAATAAGATTTCGCCTACTGCGGTGGCTGTAGGACTATGAATACTGTGCAGGTAAAATATAATATTATGACGTGATCAGAAATCGTCCTATTAAAAATGAATATGCATATAATTAAAAGTAAATAATGCTTGTTTACACATACGTTTGTCATAAATTTGGTTTAATTAAGAGATATATTATGAGATAAAAGTAATCTTATCAATATTTACCGACCATTAATTGCCACTTGAAGCCAATGGAAAGATTTAATAACACATGGTATACCTACGTTTTTACAGTTTAATAATATTAAATATACTTTTAATGCTTATTTTTAACTAATAGTATACTAATAAGTAATATGTAGATTGTATAGGTATCATAATATAAGTGCTTATGCCTTTTTGTTTTTGTAATATTTCGGTTTAGTACTACTTCAAATTTGTAATTATTAGAATATTAAATGTATGCTTTATCTTACATAATTACATAAAATTAGAAGTACAGTCCCTTGTTATATTGATGTATTGTATTGTAAATGATATAAGCATTAAGAATGTTCATTAAATGTTTCAAAGCTGTTGCCTATTAGTTATTACTCGAGATGTAAGCTTAAAAAGGTGGGCAAGTGGGTGCCGCTCTGCTGTACAGTAGGTTACAAGTGGGTCACTGTATAATGGATGGTATTACATTTGAATTCAATGATATTATATCACTGAATAAGAAAAACGATTATGAGCGGAGACGGTATGTCCTTCTAGGTTTAAGGCATATTATATACTTATCTATGGTATTAAAAAAAATTGACCTATAATGAATTCCAAATTAATCATATCACAATAATATCCATTAGGAACTTATAACGCGTTATTCACCAACAACAAACCAACCATGATACTATCATAGATAAATAGTAGTATACTTTAGAAGTTTCAAGTACCCACGAATAATATTATACAATCACAACAAAATAACTAAAATAGTTATTCTAGGTTTTTTATTATGTAAGTTCGTCCAAATTTGAATTTAAAATGTCTGTAAAAAATAACTGTGTTCATATATTTTATTTTATGGTTACAGTATGAACTATTTATGAGAACCTTTGTTTTAAATTTGCAATCTTTAGCTATAAAAACTGAACATTTTATAATTTATTAATTACAATGATTGATAATTTTAGAGATTTTGATAAATGTTCTCCAAATTCGATTTCTAAATGCTTATAAAAATAAATTGTGCCTATGTATTTTTAATATTTTTCAATTGCTATTGTAACAATATATCAGGAGTCTTGTATTGTTATGGTGTATAGAAAATGCTATTATAAACATTCAGTCAAAACTTTTACTGTCCTAAAACGTGATGACAAACACAAAAAAAAATTAAAAAATTAAAAAAAAACACACATCATTGTAAAATCAATACATTCATCGTTTGTCGTTTTCAATGACATTTTCAAATTTTGATTTCTATGTTTATTTTTAAAAATAATTTATTTTGTAATAATTGTGTAACAGTTGGTTACACTGACTACAAGATAATAGCATAGAACAATATATAATAGACATGAGTAATAAAATCACACAATAACGTTGTTCTGTGATAAAATTATCTTATAACCATAGATTATGATCATGCCATTAATTATAATATTTTTAAAAACTTTCAACTTCACTAAAAAAAATTACTAGTTATTACTAATAATAGGATTCAAAAAACTATTATAATTTAAGCAATGCCATTTAAGAATGTAATACTATTGTAATACTGGTCCAGTTTAATAGTATTACAATAATTACTGGTATTGATGTACTTGAAGAAAAATAATGTAATTCAAAGTCTTCAAATTACACGGAACCAAGTCATTTAGTGATTTTTCTCAGCTTTTCATCATTCAATGTGCTTGAAAAAAAGAAATCAGGATTAACAATTTACTGAGTGCAGTTTTTGATAACTAGGTACTAAGGGGTATTCACATTTTTACTTAAAATACAATCCATGTCTAATTTAAAATCCATAAGGATGCTATATTATGAACATTTGAAACACTCGTTAAATTGGATAAAAAGTCTTCTGATTCACATAATTAAGTATCTTTTTTATAGTAAAGTTCATAATATAATAATAATTATCAGAAAAAAATCCTAATATAATATATTATAAAGGTATTGTGACTTAAATAGTCATCATTTGTTGATCAAAAGTATACCTAGTATTATTAAGTTTGTATGTAATATATTTAATACATTATCATTAGTCCAAAGAATTTTGACTATGTTTTAATTATTTAGCAATGTTTTGATGTGGATAATGACAAGTGTGAGTATCCAAGTATAGAACGGACCGTTATTTAAAATAATAAAAAAACGAATGCTAAAATTTGACCCTGCATAAAAAGAAAAAACCCGTCCAGATTTTTATAACTAGATACTAAAAAAACTTGAAATCCGTTCAGTCTAGTTATGGCTTATGTGATTACAATTTGAAGGTGCACTTTTTTTATTTGTGATATATATTTACATATATTATATATAATTTTTAACCAATTAGTTTTAACAGGGAAAATTAAAATATTGAAAAATTAACTAATCCGATACTATTTATTTAATTATTAGTTTTAAAAAACCTTAAATACAATATGTATTGATTCAACTAAATGCTACCAAAGTTTAAAACTGTTTTGAAAATCGTTGTGTGTACGCGTTTTAGATAAATTACGTGATCTATAACGCAAGATATAATGTGAAAAGGACTTCGATATATTAAAATTAAACCCAACGAAATCCGTATCTGATTTTTCGCAGTCGAATATTCTCCTAACCACCTAATTATCCGGAGGGTGTCTGTGTCCAAACTATTGACAAATATTAGAGGCACCTGTTATATTATTCAAGAATTTATATGACTCTCATAAAAGTAGATAAGTCTATTATAATAATAGATTTAGAATAGATGATATACATAATCAATGGTAATATTTATTCAAATACAATTTATTATTTTAAAATAAATAAATAATTTTAGTATAATTAAATTCACGTATATTTACATATTTAATGTTTTAAAATAGTATTCGTTCCCTGTGGCGTTCCGATATCTTTGGTATTGTACCTGTATATTGACAACAGTGTATACAAACTATAATTAAATAAAAATGTAATAAATTGTTTTAATATTTTATTAATTACATTATTAAAGTCACTTATTAATAATAATACAAATAAATGTGTACACTATACATGTGTATAAACAATAGGAAAATTCAATACTATAATATTATTTGCCAGTAAAGTTCAGAGATGAAGTGTGTACAGTGGTTGGTGAATAGTAGGATGACGTTGGATCGTGACACGAGTGCGATGAGCATAAAAATAATTGTACGATGAAGAAAAAAACATTTTTAATAATAAACTCAAATACGGGTAAAATCTGAACGATATAACTTTTTGACGTTTCGAAAATTTAATAAACCTTACCTATCAATATCGTTTCCGGTGGGGCTTTTGACGTAAAAAAATTCGAGAATACCTGAAAACACCAAGATAATGATATTATGTTATTATTGTGAGGACTGGGCATAAGCAAAATAATTGTGCTTTACGTTTAGTTGTGGAGGCACGGAGATGCGTCGGAACTCCGTTAATAAATTAGTTTTCCGAGGAAAATATTATTATTATTTTGTACAACGGAGCAGCGGAATATGTACTAGCCAGTAGTCATTATAATATTAAAACTACTACCAGTAAAATTGATTATTCTGAACTTAAAATGCTCTACACTGTGCGTATTATTAAGACAGAGCCAACGCAGGCGACGTCCTCTTAAAACATAATATTATACCTACTTTTAAAAATAATCATAATAATAATATTATGGGGGACGGAGTAGCCGAGAGGACTAAGGCCGACGCCGGTTCAAAACCTTGACCGCGGGTGGCATTTTTCTTCGGGAAATTCACGGTGTCCCGAGAACAAGCTCCGTCATCCCCCACCCGGGCATGACAGATACCTACAAGACGTTCCCACTTGAAAATCTGCCAAAAACTTCACACACGTGTTCACACCTACTGTTCCCTGCCCCACATTTTAAAATCTGCCGCTGGTTAACTAATAAAAAAAAAATAAAAAAATATTATATAGACAATATGAAATTTGTACCTTTACCTGTTATACAGAGTTTATAGTCTTGCAGTGTGCCTTAAGTTTTCTCCTGCCCCTCCCTACAAATCGGTCCAAAGACACCCCTACACTTAGTGGTGGATATTTCCTAGTTCTTAGGGGGGGGGAGGGGTGAATTTCAAATCTACAGAGGTAATGACGTTCAATCCCTTCCATTATTTTCTATTGTGATAATGTTTAGTGGTGGTGAAAATCCCAAGGGGGTTTGGGTCCCCCCTTCGAAATTCACCACCGTTTACATTCGACGCCACCACACACAAAATATAGCCCGTCGTCCGCCTCAAACGAACAGATCAGAATTATTATCACTCGACGCGTGTGATGTGAAACCCGTCTGGACGGTCTGGCCACATAAAACGGAAGGCAAACCATTTGTATCGCCGCCGACAACTAACCGTCGACCATTTAAGACGACGTTTAGGTGTGATAAAGACAATGGGATACGTTTATTCGGACGCCATGTCGCTTCGGATCACGTTTGTCTTCTTATTTTTATCGTTGATTTTTCTTCTGGTTTTGCACATATATCTAAAGGAAAAAAAAATAATGAACTGTCGAGGAGGTACACATAGGGTTTAGAGCCTTCTACACACTCTGGAACTTAAAACGTATATAAAATATAATATGCATTAAAAGAAAAACCTAACGGGTATAATTATTGCTGTTATTGTCGTTTGCGAGTTCTTTTTCATCAAGTCGTCCATCTGTCCTGCGCAATATCGGAAACAGC